AGAACAGATTTAGGGCTTCGATGTTCCAAAAACACATTATTTTCTGAGACTGTTCATCTCTATTCACCCCCTGTCTGAAACGCTCTGTTAGAGCTCCTGTGTCTTTAAGCCCCGCCTCCCTATGAGCCCAGTGTGCTCTGAGTGGTCAGCTCACCCACTCTGTTGTGATCAGTCGGCCTCCAGAGTGGTTCCGCCCCTGTCCTGCAGTCTGCAGACAGACCCTTCTCTCCTGAGCAGCTGTAACTCCGCTGTGGCTGGTTCTCCAGTGGCGTCGGTTCTGCCGGATCAGTTTGATCCAGAGTGGAACCTGAAAGTCCGGTCAGCGTCTCTCCACACGCTGCACACACTTCATCCTCCAGTCGCCACCGTGCGCTGTGTGAGGGGGCGGAGCTCACCGGTAGGCGGGCAGTAAGGACTGTGTTACAAGATGATGTCATCCTGTAACAAAGGAGAAGGGCTGGAATTCCAAAAGGCGTTTCAGCAGCTGAGAAAAGTGGGTTCTGTGGGAGAGAGGTTCTCCCTCTGGAGGGAACGCTGAGCTTTGGGACGCTGCAGAACGTTTACATGGACGAAATGATAAATGTCAAAGTCACGTCAAAGTTTGTTTATGTAGCACTTTTCACAACAGGTGTGTCACAAAGCAACTTTACAGAAAAATCCGGGTCCGAGCCCCCATGAGCGTCGCCAGTGGCGACAGTGGCAAGGAAAAACTCCCTAAGAGAAACAGGAAGAAACACTGAGAGGAACCAAGACTCAGAAGGGGAACCCATCCTCCTCTGGACCACACCGGATAGCAAACAGGCGGAAAACTGGAAAAACAGGCGGAGCAACGGTTAATTAGATAGTCTGAGTTTATGCAGCAGCAGCAGGAGGGTCAGATCATGAGGGTGAGGTTGGTACAACGTTGTACAGTGAGAAGCTCCATGGTGGTCAAACTGGTCCAGAAGGCTGGTGAGCAGTGAGGTAAAACACATTAAAGGAAAAACAAAAAACTGGAAAAGCATAATAAAGGTCCCCTTTGGTAGAAACTTCAAATATATAAACATCGTTATGACTGGAGTGCAGCTGCTTTCTTTTAGTAACCATGTTTGTAAGTTGTAACAATGATGTTCTTCGGCGTAAGAAGTCTCTGTATTATCATTCATTTATTAATGTAATTTTTTTATTTATTCTGCTTTGAAGTTCTGCGCTGATGAACTACCTACTGGGTCCACGTAACAGCAGTCAGCTCTGCAGCTTCAGTATTACACAGTACGCCTGTGCAGAGGTACAACATTACACTGTAAACCTATGCAGAAGTACAGTATTACAGAATATGCTGGTTCAGATGTTGTACATTTTATTAGAACACTGTATATTTTATTAAGACTTCTTTCTGTTTTTTAAAGAAGAGCATGTATAAAATGTGGTGTGTGTGTGTGTGTGTGTGTGTGTGTGTGTGTGTGTGTGTGTGTAGTTGATAGGTTTGACCCCGGAGGATTTGGTGACGGTGTTGATGTGTAATCTCCATGGTAACAGCACGGTGTCAGACGAGACCTGGAAGCTCTTCATCACAAATGTCAACCCCGTCCTCGGCCCCGCCCTCGACCTGTTTACAAACACGGTAATGTAAACAACACTCACAAACAGACCTACTTTACTTGCTCTTGTTCTCTTTTATTGTTTTTATTGTTTTATAAAAGCTACAAAGACTTGGAGAACAAATTCAAGGGCAAACAGATTTAATTTAACAACGTAACATACAGTGTGATATGAAATTTAAATTAATTTCATATTAAATTAGAGTAAATTTGAGTGATTTTGATTTAAAAATATGAGCTAAATCTTCTTATATCTTTGTTTTATATTTTCAGAATAGAAAGTGAGAGAATTTTAGATAAAAAAAATATATTTGAAAATTTGGGTGAATTTTATGAGTGAAACAGAAAATGAGGAGTGAAATAAGATTAATAAATAAAAAAGCTGTGTAATGAAGTTTTGATACAAAAATGTAGTTATCTGAAATGTAAATGAAACTAATGGAAATGCAGAACTAAAATAAGATTTGACTCAAAAGGCACTTTGAGGTGAATTTTACTGAAAATAAAATCTGCAGTGATTTGAGTTTGACATTTAGAAAATGCAGAGTAAAGTTGATTTTTCTTTTCATAAAAATAAAATACAGCTTATTTCAAGAACAGACATGCAGTGATGTCATTGCGGTTCTCTCTCGGTTCTCCATAGACCCTGCCCTGGTCCCGCCCCCTGGTGGTTGTGCTGGATATGATTGGTGAAGTGACGTTAGGCACGTTCAGCTCATCCAATTACAGGAACAGTTCGTTTATTCAGCGCTGGATCCAGACGAGGCTCCGCCCCTTTTTACCTTACGCCTCACCTCGCTTCCTGTCCTGCCTGGCCAGCAAGGACTTCAGCTGTGCCTCCTTCCAGAGCGTGTGAGTAAAACTTTGATCTGACGGCTCTGATTATGGATTGTTGGAACTGATCAAATTGATCATAGCAGTGTTCAGTAAGTATATATGATGTAAAATTTAATACGCATTATTTTTAATGTATACGAGCATTTTTAGTTAATATTCAACGCTGTAAACAGTTCCTCCAGTTACATTTGTGTATTTAGAATTTTTTAATAATAATTCTGAATCAGATGAAAAATAGCTGAACTGAAATATGGTGAAATTTGAGATTGACGCACTAATTTAATTCCTAAATTCATTTGTATTTAAATTCATTTGTTCTTGTGTTTTTGCTGTAGTGTTAAGATTTTCAGTCAGCAGTTTTCTGCCATGTCCCGCGACACTAATATATACATCTGGATCGACTTCATCCAGGTCTTCCTCTCCCTCAACCAGACTGCAGGTTTGATACACAATTAATGTTGCATTAACCGTCTTTCATCTGTAAATGTACGATAGTGTTCCGGGTGGCTGTTAATGGAATTTTCCAGCGTCTCCCTGAACTTACAGAACAGAAACCCCGTCAACTCTAAACTCATGTATAATAGAAGTCAATGGGGAGATTCTTAAGCCCTTTAACCTCTGCTCGCTGACCTTGAGTTTGGAGTTTGGAGTGATGGTATTTCTGTCCTTTTTGAAGTTCAGGTTGTGCTTGTAGTAAATAGTTCGTTTACTGCGTTTGTGGTATTACTTTACAGAAGCTTCTCTGCATATATTTAATTTACACACTGCAAAAACTTGTATCTTGTCAAGTGAAATGATCTTAAATCTAGTTGATATTTCTAACATCTCCCATTTTGAGATGGTTGTGCACTTATTATATGATTATCTAGTTTATTACTAGACAAATTTTATTCGTTTTAAGTGATTTATATTAAATAAAATTATCTCATTACTGGCAGATAATGTTGCTGGTTTCAAGCTAATTTCCTACAACAAGCAAAATGTTCTGCCAATATAGTGAGATAATTTTACTTAAAAAATTACTCAAAACAAGTAAAAATGTTTGGAAATAAGTTAAACAATCTTGAATTAAGCTTATAGCAATCTCAACAGGAGAAATATTCATCACTAGATACAAGATCATTTTACTTGACCAGACATTTTTTGCAGTGCAGTTCAAACGTCCAGCCTTTAAATACAAGTTATTCCTTCTTCAGTGTGAAGAAACACATATTTAACAGAAAACTACCCAGAATCCTCCACAGCTACATCTAATCTCAGCTGTGTGAGTGTCAGTGAGTCAAAGTAGCTTCCATTCTTTTCAGGAGACTCATTTTCAGTAAATCTGCAGAAACACCTCCAAAGTTCAGTCTTAGACATTGCAGTCCTGTGTATGTGTGTGTTTACAGTTGTTTTTTGTTAGTTTTGGGAGTTTTAATTCAGTGTATTGTTTTCGTTTCTTTATTATTAGGCTGTTCTGCTGGAATGAGTAGCTCTGATTGGCTGAGCATGAATTTCGGGCCTTTCTCTGCCTTCGCGTCTCTCACTGCCCTTCAGAGACTCAACCCCAACTTCAAGCCGGTACAACATACATACAATAGACATACATGAGGGTCATTCCACACCGGCCTTCCCTGAAAAAGACGTTGTCTGGATGGCAGCATATGTTGCCAAAACATTTTTATATAGTTCAGCATTAATGGAGCCTTCACAGATGTGCACGTCACCCATGCCATGCGCACTAATGCCCCCCTATACCATCATGAATACTGGCTTTAGAACTGTGCACTGATAACAAGCTGAGTGGTCTTTAGTCCGGAGGACACAGTGTCCATGATTTCCAAAAAGAGTTTCAAATGTTGATTCGTCGGACCACAGGACACTTTTCCACTTCCCCTCAGTCCATTTTAAATGAGCTCAGGCCCAGAGAAGGTGGCAGCGTTTCTGGATCCTGTTTATATTTGTTTTTTTCTTTGCATTTTAGAGTTTTAACTTGCATTTGTGGATGCAGTGATGAACTGTTTTCACAGACAGTGGTTTCAGAAGTGTTTCTGAGCCCATGCAGTGATTTCCACTACAGAATCATGTCTGTTTTTAATGCAGTGCTGTCTGAGGGCCCAAAGATCACAGCCAGCAAACACTGGTTTTTGGCTTTGTCCCTTACATACAGAGATTTCTCCAGATGCTCTGAATCTTTTAATGATATTATGCACCGTAGATGATGAAAAGCTAAAGTTCTTTGTTATTTTTATGTTGAGAAACGTTATTCTTGAATTGTTGCACTATTTGATAGTGCAGTCTTTCACACAGTGGTAATCCCCCCCTCATCTTTACTTCTGAAAGACTCCGCCTCTCTGAGATGCCATTTTTATACCCAATCATAACTTTTGCATAAATAAGGTTTAATGTAGCGTTCTTACATTTCTTGCATTTCTTTGTATTAAAAGTTTGAAGTTACACAGGTGTTGAAATATTTGGAAATTGCATTAATGTTAAAAAAATTCAACTCAAGGTATAATTTCAAATATTGCCTTTAGAATTATAATTCATAAGTTTAGTACTACAAACTACCTACTATTATTAAATATTATTTCAAAAATAATTGAAAGATTACATTTTAAAGATGTATAAAATATTGTACAAAGTGTAGTCAGTGTATATCCTCCAGTAAATTAACCTGATAAGAGCAGTAATTCGCATAAAATTACTTTATTTCCATCAAAATGTTATTGTTAGTGTTTTGTTGTTTTTGTTGAATCTCTGACATGAACAGACAGATCATAGCTGGTGTGGAATCACCACCATACATATGCATACGCTTATTTTCTTATATATTATTTATTCTGTGTTCCTGCACTTCTATAATATACATGTGATTGATATATGTGTTTGTGTTGTGTTGTGTTGTGTAGCTGGATGTTCTGGACAGATTAACTCTGGGTCAGTTGGCTCAGGTGGCCAGCTCACCTGGTCTGCTCAGCACCCCTGCTCAGGTGGACCCGCTGATGAAGTATGTCCCAGATTCTGAGCTTTCTGTGTTCTTCTCCACTCTGTCTGCAGCACTGAGTGTAAGTTTTATTTACCATACTACCATATTATACCATATTACAATACACTACACTAAAATACACCATACCAACATATACCATACTAACACGCACCCTGCTGAATGACACTGTATTAAAATATGCCATACTAACATATATCATACTAAAATATACCATACTAACCCATACCATACTAAATAACATTACATAAATATACACTACATTAAAATATACCATACTGAATTACACTAAAATATACCATACTAAAGAACTCTACATTAAAATATACCATACTAAAGAACTCTACATTAAAATATACCATACTAAAATATACCATACTAAAGAACTCTACATTAAAATATACCATACTAAAATATACCATACTAAAGAACTCTACATTAAAATATACCATACTAAATTACACGACACTAAAGTATACCATACTAAAATATACCATACTAAAGAGCTCTACATTAAAATATACCATACTAAAATATACCATACTAAAGAACTCTACATTAAAATATACCATACCAACATATACCATACTAAATTACACTACACTAACCTATACCATACTAAAGAACACTACATTAAAATACACCATACTAAAATATACCATACTAAAGAACACTACATGAAAATATACCATACTAAATTACACTAACCTATACCATACTAAAGAACACTACATTAAAATACACCATACTAAAATATACCATACTAAATTACACTACACTAAAATATACCATACTAAATTACACTACACTAAAATATACCATACTAAAGAACTCTACATTAAAATACACCATACCAACATATACTATACTAAAATATACCATACCAACATATACCATACTAAAATATACCATACCAACATATACCATACTAAAGAACACTACATTAAATTATACCATACTAAATTACACGACACTAAAGTTTACCATACTAAATTACACTACACTAAAATATACCATACTAAATTACACTACACTAACCTATACCATACTAAAGAACTCTACATTAAAATATACCATACCAACATATACCATACTAAAATATACCATACCAACATATACCATACTAAAGAACACTACATTAAAATACACCATACTAACCTATACCGTACTAAATTATACTACACTAAAATATACCATACTAAAAATTAACACACTAAACTACACTTTACTAACGTATACCATACTAAATTACACCATACGTAAATATACCACACTAAACTACACTACACTAAATTACTCTATTCTAAGATATGCCAGACTAAACTATACTATACTAAACTACACCATACTATAAAATATACATCACCACATATTTAAAACATATGAGTACATACATGAAAAATTTAATGACCACATAAAATATCATTTTACTTCATAATTCCTAGTTCTAAGCTAAATTATAATGTATTATAATTTTATACTATATATAATATGAACTATGTTCTGTTAAAATACACCCCACAAGGGACAACACACAACAAGACAACAAGAAGGACAAAGATAGACCATACAACAATTATATAATCGGAATATTTTAGTTAATAATGTTTTACTCATTGGATTGTGGATTGTAACCCAGTAAACTCTGTGTGTTGTGTACCAGATAAGTGTATGTTTAATTGCAGATGCAGAATAATTTAGTTTAAAAAATGACTTGATGTGCCTGAAATCTGTAGAAAGCAAACTGACATGCTGATCACTTACTAGACAAACCAAAACTCTAACGATCTCGTTTTCATCTTCTGTATTTATCATATTTTCACCTGTTATGTCTTGGTCTGTAGTGTGTGTGTTTTCTAATGGACTGAATGTCTTTTAAATGTGTTGTATGATAAAAGTGTCTTATTATGATTGTGTCAGTCTCAGGGTGGGCAGCTCACTGTCGAGGTCAAGCAAGCTTTCCTGCAGCAGGTGTTAGACAGGGCGAACCTGACGGACCCTGCAGTGCCAGATGCTCAGGTGCAGGTTTGGATCAGTACCAACCTGCCCCCATTCATATCAGCCATCACACCTGCTCAGGTTCTCCAGTACTTCAGGATCGTGCAGAGCAGAACCTGCCAGATCAGCCAGCAGGCGTAAGATCTACTGTCACACACTCAATTACACGTACTTATATGTATATATAGTGATGTAATACGGCCCCTACCTGTTCTCATATGGATTATGTATATGAGTGGCTTCATGTGTTTGAACACAGGGTGGCGCTGCTGAATTCCTCCTACTCCAGTTTCAGTACTAAGACACGGGAGGCCATCTACAGTCAGATCTTCACCTCACTCCAAGGTACCGTCTACATACTTATAAACATTCCCTATCCATCCATCCATCCATCCATCCATCCATTCATCCATCCATCCATCCATCCATCCATTCATACATCCATTCATTCATCCACCCATCCATCCATCCATCCATCCATCCATCTGTCCATCCATCATCCATCTGTCCATCCATCATCCATCCATCCATCCATCCATCCATCCATCCATCATCCATATACCCATCCATCCATCCATCTGTCCATCCATCATCCATCTGTCCATCCATCATCCATCCATCCATCCATCCACCCATCCATCCATCCATCCATCCATCCATCTGTCCATCCATCATCCATCTGTCCATCCATCATCCATCCATCCATCCATCCATCCATCCATCCATCCATTCTACCATCAGTCCATCCTGCACTGTATTAAAATACATTCATCTATGCATAGTCATTCATTTCCATCCTTCATTTGAGCTTTAAGCCATCCATCTATCCACCCATCCATAAAACCATTTACCCCCCATCCATGCTTCCAATAATCTATTGTTGATTCATTAATTCAGTTCATCTCTTCATCCATCCATCTCTCTGCTTGTGTCCTACAGTCCCTGAGCCACTGCGCTGCTATCTTAGTGGGAGTTTCTACTCATATCTGCAGTCGTCCTTCATGAGTTTCCAGTTCCCTTCACTCCCTGACTTCCTGTCCCTCATGCCTCCCGCCCGTCTACCAGAGGTAAGAGCAGCTGTCAATCAAACAGCTCAACCATCACAATCAGCTAAGTTACACAGCACAAGCCAAAGGGGGCTAAGGTACAGGGGTCTCCATCCTCATCTTGGCCGCTGCAGCTCCATTATGAGGTGGACAACACTGACTCCTGGTTAAGCAGTGCTGTGTTAGTGTTGAGTTTATTGTTGATGAATCAGTCATTGATCAGTGTGTTTCGTCTCTCTGCTGTGTAGCTGCTGAACTCCATTTCTACAGCTGAGCTCTACAGCTTCCTCAGTCGAACCAGCACCATCAACAACCAGACACAGCTCTGTGAGATCTTCAACAACTACCAGAGGACGCCAGAGTACCTGCAGAACGTAAGGCAGCAGTACACGATAGCAGATACTGAATAATTAAAGCAGATACTGAATAATTAAAGCAGATACTGGATAATTCATAGTAGATACTGGATAATTCATAGTAGATACTGAACAATTCATAGTAGATACTGAACAATTCATAGTAGATACTGAACAATTCATAAATGATACTGAATAATTCATAGGAGATAGTGAATAATTAAAGCAGATGCTGAATAATTAAAGCAGATACTGAATAGTTCATAGTACATACTGAACAATTAAAGCAGATACTGAATAATTCATAGTAGATACTGAATAATTAAAGCAGATACTGGATAATTCATAGTAGATACTGGATAATTCATAGTAGATACTGAACAATTCATAAATGATACTGAATAATTCATAGGAGATAGTGAATAATTAAAGCAGATGCTGAATAATTAAAGCAAATACTGAATAATTCATAGTAGATACTGAACAATTAAAGCAGATTCTGGATAATTCATAGTAGATACTGAATAATTCATAGTAGATACTGAATAATTAAAGCAGATACTGAATAGTTCATAGTACATACTGAACAATTAAAGCAGATACTGGATAATTCATAGTAGATACTGAATAATTCATAGTAGATACTGTATAATTCATAGGAGATACTGAATAAAGCAGATACTGAATAATTGATAGGAGATACTGAATAATTCATAGTAGATACTGAATAATTAAAGCAGATACTGAATAGTTCATAGTACATACTGAACAATTAAAGCAGATACTGAATAATTCATAGTAGATACTGAACAATTAAAGCAGATACTGGATAATTCATAGTAGATACTGTATAATTCATAGGAGATACTGAATAAAGCAGATACTGAATAATTGATAGGAGATACTGAATAATTCATAGTAGATACTGAATAATTCATAGTAGATACTGTATAATTCATAGGAGATACTGAATAAAGCAGATACTGAATAATTGATAGGAGATACTGAATAATTCATAGTAGATACTGAATAATTAAAGTAGATACTGAATAATTAAAGCAGATACTGATAATTCATAGTAGATACTGAACAATTAAAGCAGATACTGGATAATTCATAGTAGATACTGAACAATTAAAGTAGATATTGAATAATTTAAAGTAAATACTGAATAATGAATAGTAGATACTAAATAACAAGCTTGAAGTTTATTTATACAGCACCTTTCATACACTGCAATTATTCAAAGAGCTTGAAAAATGATGAAATGCTAAGATAATTCAAATTAAATTTTAAAAAGTAACAAGGTAAAGGAGAGAAGAAATTAAAAACATGTGACCTTAAAAGACTGTAAATGAATAATGAAATTAAAAATAAGACTAAAAATGAAAAGATGATAATAGTGCCGTTAGAGGAGAGAAGTGCAGTAGAGCTAACGGTGTTTAAACTGAGCTGAAAGCTGCTCTAACAGGTTGGTTTTCATGCTGCAGCACATTTTGCTCATGAATAGTGTAGCTGTGCTGTCAATGTTTAGTGAGGTCCACATTTCAGTAAAAACACAGCAATGATCTGACAGAGTGACGTCCTTAACAGTGGCTGATATGGTGAGACCCTTTGAGATAACCACATCCAGAGTGGGCCATAACAGTGTGATGATCAAAAAGAACAAAATGATCAAAATCAGTGGAAATGAAAGATTACGATTTACACATTACTGGTAATATTTTTGGTGCCTCTTTCAGAACCACACAAAGATACTCAAAGGACGTGAAATGAGTAAATGATAACTGCATTGGACAAAATTATCAAATAGAGCAGCTACACATCCACCTTTCTTAAGAAACGAGATATCTATGAAGTTTGGTGGAGCCGACTCAGTACGCTTTCAGCACTACATTCATTTAACCGTGTTTCTGTTAAAAACATCAAATCAAGCCCACGGCCTGTAATACAACCATTAATCAAACAGGACCTGTGGGGGATCTAATATTAAGAAAAGCTCAGTGACCTGCGGACTTTGCTCCAGAAGCTGTGAACCACATTTTACATACTGCAGATTGGATACATTCACATAATCTGACAGGGTCTCCCTGTTCTGTCTGTTTCAGTTAAGTACTGAAATGGGAGAGATTAGAGCTTGTTTTGAAAACATGCACTGCTGACATCATCACTGTCGCAGCACAGACCCAAAAGTATCAGTTTCCCAGATTACTTGAAGATGAGGTGACCACCTAATAGACTAATAGAATTGTATTTCCCTCTGTTTCTCTGTGCAGGAGCCAGTTGTATCTGCAGCTGTGGGCAGACAGACGTTGGGGTGCGTTTGGTCTCGTGCTCTCAGCGCCTCGTCTCAGGATGAGGTGGCTCAGTGGTTTAATGTCAGACTGGCTCAGTACCTGCCCTTCCTCAGCTCTCAGCTCATCAGCCCCACCCAGCTCAGTGGTGCCTCCTGCCTTGCCTTCCGCAAGTTGTACGTAAACAGAAAGTGTTGCTCTGTTTGATTATCTATGAAATGACAATGTGTTGCATGTAACTTTAATAGTTGACGAGTTGCTGTATGCAATTTTAAATTTGCACAGAAATTAAGTTGCAGGCAACTCATAGTGTGCAACGTTTTAGTGTGTAAAGCTGTAAAAATTACATTACAGTCCAAGAAATCTTAAAGCAACTATAACCTTGCATGAAGTAAACATTTCTGCACTTTTAAGAGCTAAAGACTGTAAGATGTTTTAAAGCCAGAGCAGTTGTTGTTCCTAAATGTGTAGCTGTACACATGCATTTACATGCACTCACTAATCCAATCATTATCAGATTTCTGCAGTTATCCGATTATTCAAATGGTCCTGTAAACACCATACTCTGATCTAGAAATCTGATTAAGAAATCTGATGAAGAGGCTGAATTTTAGCTCAGTAATCAGATTTCTCAGTGCATGTAAACTCACTCTGATTTCTTTCGGATTTCTCAGAGTGAGCATGTGCGAAAACAGACGGCAGTACTGGAAATAAGCGAGCAGCGTCACCGCGAGACGCTTCTAGATGATAAAAGTAACGCGGTGCATTGGTGCTGAGCTTTATGTTACGTTTACGCCACATCTGATTCTGTGAGTTTATTGGCTGGTTGCGAAGCAGAAATCTGATTACTGTCTGACTCATGTAGACCTGGAGTTTCACATTATCTGTGCATGTAAACTTGTTGATCGGATCACTGACAGAATCTGATTTTCTGCAGTTATCAGATTATTAAGTGCATGTAAAGGCAAGTTTAACCAGAATCAGATTGGAGAATTCTCCATTGCTGTGGAATAACGTGGTGTGTAAAACCTTAGCAACCACCTGGGACACCTGTAGAAACCTGTGAGAATCTTCCTGTTTTCTTTCCAGTGTGTCAGTGATGGGGAACTATAACTACAACAGTGTAGATTTCACCCAGCAGGACGTCTACAACACCATCCAGGCTTACCTGAGTACAGGTACGTCTCTGATTCCCCGATTCTGCAATTAAATATAATTAATTTGTGTGATAATTATTTTACATATACACAGCAGAATTTCTGTAGTGCATTGTCTATTTATGTGATGGCTAATTCTTTAGAGTAGTTTTAGCTGTGCTCATTAGCTAGCAGTGTCAGCTGTCTAGCTAACTATGTTAGCATATTGCTTTAGGAAACCTCAGCTATGCTACAGTAATTAGCATTGTAAGCTATAGTGTTAGCTAGCTAGCAATGTAATCAAATCTCTCAGAGTAGGCCTAACTAAGCTATGCTACAGTAGCTAGCAGTGTAAGCTACAGTGCTAACTTAGCTATCAAAGCTTGGATCAGCTCACATCTATTAGTTTAGGTCTCTGGTCTCTGAGGGAAACTGTAATCAATCCATTCATGTACATACTTTTATTCAGAATGAGTGTCAGTGATTCATAATACATGTGGATCTGATTGATGTCTGTGCTCCTGTAGGCTCCACCCCCAAATGCTACAACTCCTCAGACCCAGTGCTGAGCTCCACCTCCTGGTTCGTGGACTACATTGGGGTCTTCATCACCTTCATCAGCGTTAATGACCTGGTGATGTTTGGAGGCACAGCGGTGAGAAGATCCGCTCTATAGTTCTTACACTGTCAAAGTGAAGGTCCCGTCAGAGTTCTTCCCTTAAACCTTTCTGACATTTTAATGTTTATTGAGATTAAGAAAAACATACACGTTAATTAGGAGAGACTACAGTCAGAGAAAAGGGAAAAATGGAAGGAAAATTCGTGTGATGTCTGGTAGCAAACTTGTTTTTTCTTACCAGTTCACAAGAAAGAGAATACTTTAAAAAAATAAACAACATTCTTATTGATTTTGACTTTTTGTTTGCATTTGTTGAAATGATTATAGTGTTTTACTGGCAAAACACAGTTATTGGCCAGATATGTACGTATATATGGATGATTCTACTGAACTGATACTTTACGATAACTTTACGATATTTCAGTAGTGTCTGTTTCAGTAGTGACTGTGTCAGTAGTGTCTGTTTCAGTAGTGACTGTTTCGGTAGTGTCTGTTTCGGTAGTGACTGTTTTGGTAGTGACTGTTTAGTAGTAACTGTTTGAGTAGTGTCTGTTTTCAGTAGTGACTGTTTTGGTAGTGACTGTTTCAGTAGTGACTCTTTGAGTAGTGTCTGTTTCGGTAGTGTCTGTTTCAGTAGTGTCTGTTTCAGTAGTGACTGTTTCGTAGTGACTGTTTCGTAGTGACTGTTTCAGTATGACTGAGTAGTGTCTGTTTTCAGTAGTGACTGTTTCAGTAGTGTTTGTTTCAGCTGTTTCAGTAGTGTTTCTTTCAGTAGTGACTGTTTCGGTAGTGTCTGTTTCAGTAGTGTCTGTTTCAGTAGCGTCTGTTTCAGTAGTGACTGTGTCAGTAGTGACTGTTTCAGTAGTGACTGTTTCAGTAGTGACTGTTTCAGTAGTGTCTGTTTCAGTAGTGTCTGTTTCAGTAGTCACTGTTTCAGTAGTGACTGTTTCAGTAGTGTCTGTTTCAGTAGTGTCTGTTTCAGTAGTGACTGTTTCAGTAACATCTGTTTCAGTAGTGACTGTTTCAGTAGCGTCTGTTTCAGTAGTGTCTGTTTCAGTAGTGACTGTTTCAGTAGTGACTGTTTCAGTAGTCACTGTTTCAGTAGTGTCTGTTTCAGTAGTGACTGTTTCAGTAGTGACTGTTTCAGATAATTTTGTCTTTTCAGCTGAGTGTACTGTTTCAGTAGTGTCTGTTTCAGTAGTGGCTGTGTCAGTAGTGTCTGTTTCAGTAGTGACTGTTTCGGTAGTGTCTGTTTCGGTAGTGACTGTTTTGGTAGTGACTGTTTCAGTAGTAACTGTTTGAGTAGTGTCTGTTTTCAGTAGTGACTGTTTTGGTAGTGACTGTTTCAGTAGTGACTCTTTGAGTAGTGTCTGTTTCGGTAGTGGCTGTTTCAGTAGTGTTTCAGTACTGTTTCAGTAGCGTCTGTTTCAGTAGTGTCTGTTTCAGTAGTCACTGTTTCAGTAGTGACTGTTTCAGTAGTAACTGTTTCAGTAGTGTCTGTTTCAGTAGTGACTGTTTCAGTAGTGACTGTTTCAGTAGCATCTGTTTCAGTAGTGACTGTTTCAGTAGCGTCTGTTTCAGTAGTGTCTGTTTCAGTAGTCACTGTTTCAGTAGTGACTGTTTCAGTAGTCACTGTTTCAGTAGTGACTGTTTCAGTAGTAACTGTTTCAGTAGTGACTGTTTCAGTGATAATTTTAGCTCATTTTGAGCTCAGAAACTGAACTGATACTTTACGATAACTTTACGATATTTCAGTAGTGTCTGTTTCAGTAGTGGCTGTGTCAGTAGTGTCTGTTTCAGTAGTGACTGTTTCGGTAGTGTCTGTTTCGGTAGTGACTGTTTTGGTAGTGACTGTTTCAGTAGTAACTGTTTGAGTAGTGTCTGTTTTAGTAGTGACTGTTTTGGTAGTGACTGTTTCAGTAGTGACTCTTTGAGTAGTGTCTGTTTCGGTAGTGGCTGTTTCAGTAGTGTCTCTTTCAGTAGTGACTGTTTTGGTAGTGACTGTTTCAGTAATGACTGAGTAGTGTCTGTTTTAGTAGTGACTGTTTCAGTAGTGTTTGTTTCAGCTGTTTCAGTAGTGTTTCTTTCAGTAGTGACTGTTTCGGTAGTGTCTGTTTCAGTAGTGTCTGTTTCAGTAGCGTCTGTTTCAGTAGTGTCTGTTTCAGTAGTCACTGTTTCAGTAGTGACTGTTTCAGTAGTCACTGTTTCAGTAGTGACTGTTTCAGTAGTAACTGTTTCAGTAGTGACTGTTTCAGTGATAATTTTAGCTCATTTTGAGCTCAGAAACTGAACTGATACTTTACGATAACTTTACGATATTTCAGTAGTGTCTGTTTCAGTAGTGACTGTGTCAGTAGTGACTGTCTCAGTAGTGTCTGTTTCAGTAATGTCTGTTTCAGTAGTGACTGTTTCAGTAGTGTCTGTTTCAGTAGTGACTGTTTCGGTAGTGACTGTTTCAGTAGTGACTGAGTAGTGTCTGTTTTAGTAGTGACTGTTTCAGTAGCATCTGTTTCAGCTGTTTCAGTAGTGTTTGTTTCAGTAGTGTCTGTTTCAGTAGTGGCTGTGTCAGTAGTGTCTGTTTCAGTAGTGACTGTATCAGTAGTGACTGTTTCAGTAGTGTCTGTTTCAGTAGTGTCTGTTTTAGTAGTGACTATCAGTAGTGTCTGTTTCAGTAGTGTCTGTTTCAGTAGTGACTGTTTCAGTAGTGACTGTTTCAGTAGTGTCTGTTTCAGCTGTTTCAGTAGTGTTTCTTTCAGTAGTGTCTGTTTCAGTAGTGTCTGTTTCAGTAGTGTCTGTTTCGGTAGTGACTGTGTCAGTAGTGTCTGTTTCAGTAGTGACTGTTTCAGTAGTGTCTGTTTCAGTAGTGTTTGTTTCAGCTGTTTCAGTAGTGTTTCTTTCAGTAGTGTCTGTTTCAGTAGTGGCTGTGTCAGTAGTGTCTGTTTCAGTAGTGACTGTTTCGGTAGTGTCTGTTTCGGTAGTGACTGTTTTGGTAGTGACTGTTTCAGTAGTAACTGTTTGAGTAGTGTCTGTTTTAGTAGTGACTGTTTTGGTAGTGACTGTTTCAGTAGTGACTCTTTGAGTAGTGTCTGTTTCGGTAGTGGCTGTTTCAGTAGTGTCTCTTTCAGTAGTGACTGTTTTGGTAGTGACTGTTTCAGTAATGACTGAGTAGTGTCTGTTTTAGTAGTGACTGTTTCAGTAGTGTTTGTTTCAGCTGTTTCAGTAGTGTTTCTTTCAGTAGTGACTGTTTCGGTAGTGTCTGTTTCAGTAGTGTCTGTTTCAGTAGCGTCTGTTTCAGTAGTGACTGTGTCAGTAGTGACTGTTTCAGTAGTGACTGTTTCAGTAGTGACTGTTTCAGTAGCGTCTGTTTCAGTAGTGTCTGTTTCAGTAGTCACTGTTTCAGTAGTGACTGTTTCAGTAGTAACTGTTTCAGTAGTGTCTGTTTCAGTAGTGTCTGTTTCAGTAGTGACTGTTTCAGTAGTGACTGTTTCAGTAGCGACTGTTTCAGTAGTGACTGTTTCAGTAGCGTCTGTTTCAGTAGTGTCTGTTTCAGTAGTCACTGTTTCAGTAGTGACTGTTTCAGTAGTCACTGTTTCAGTAGTGACTGTTTCAGTAGTAACTGTTTCAGTAGTGACTGTTTCAGTGATAATTTTAGCTCATTTTGAGCTCAGAAACTCAGCAGTTCATGACCAGCAAACACAGCTCTGAACAGCTGTTCACACAGAAAATCATCATATTTATCATTAAAACACTAAAAAGTGCTGAACTGCAGAAAATATGATGATTCTTAATGTTCCACACTGATTTTCAGACTTTGGGACTCATTTACTTCAAAACAATGGGATCTAACTGCTCACCATGTGGCCATGAGGGACAGGGTTGCAGCCTCACGTCCTGCTCTGAAATGCAGGGGCGTGGCCATGTACACATACATATCAGCATTTTCAAAAACATTGGGATGCTTTGCTGTAAAAACAGAATGCAATGGTGTGCAAAATAATGTATACCCTATATTTAATTTAATAAATGCAGAGGGGTTTACCACTCTGTGAAAGTCTGCACTGGCAAATGTTTTTCAAAGTAAATAGCAAAGAACTTAATTATGTTTCATAATAATAATATATATTTATAAACATATAAGAAATGGCCCAAATTTCTGTTTTTCGTTGATATATATATATATATATATATATATATATATATATATATATATATGTGTATATATATATATATATATATATATATATATATATATATATATATGTGTATATATATATATATATATATATATATATGTATATATATATATGGGTGTCTCTGGTCAAATTCCATGTTGTTGTCGATTTTCTAATTGTATTTAGGTTAACATGTCCTCTCTAAACAGCTCAATCCTGAGTACAGTAACGGTTCTACAAATCATGTAAAGAATGGTTTCTTTCGGCAAAACAGGACAGTAACTTTCCATCAAATTCATAATAAAATACAGTAAGTGGTACTGAATGGCAGTTTAGAGTCCTTTCCACACAATTTCTCCACTTGTTTCACTGAACTATGAGATTGAAATCATTTGTATAGCACTGCAGCTAAATGAAGGGTTAACTGATGCTGCAGATCCGTGCAGTGAGGGAGTGTTTTAACCCGATGATTGATTTTTTAAACTTTTTTTGTGTTTATAGAATTTATATTTATTTATTTTATTTTGTGGTTTTGTATTTTGTAGTTCTATTTTTATTTTTCTTTATTTTTATTATGTTATTATAAAATTACATGACTTTGGACATGCTGACCTTTGTCTGCTAATAATGACTGTTAGTGTCGGTCGCTGCAGTGTGGGACTGCTTTAATCTGATCACAGTGAACTGAATGAGGTTTTTTTACTGTTCCAGCTGGAGATCTTTACAGTGGACCTGAAGAATCTGCAGCTCTTCAGCGAATTCTCCGTCCCTTCCAACGTCACGGCGTTGTACGTGCAGCTGCTGTACGAGTTCAGCCCCTCCTTCAGCGCCACCCTGTGAGTTACATTATAGCTCATTACAGAGATCTTTAAGCATCCTGGCTTTATTTTTTAAAGACCTCTCCTTTATTTAACCATTCAGTTTGAACAATAGATTAGAATGGGGCAAAGATTATAACGTACACTTTCTGTCTGGCACAGGATGCTGGGTAATATGCAAATCAACTGGAGTTTGTCCAGAAAAACGCCCCACTGTAAACTGCTGTTTACAGTGTGTTCTATGCTGTCTATGCATAACATAATCATCATTATAAAAGATATAGTAATATTGCAACGAGCCCACAAGGTGATAATATTCTAATGGTGTTACTGGGATGGAAAATGTGAGCACTTTGAACTTTGTAATTAAGTGTACATCGCAGTATTAATCAAACTTACAGATGAAATCATCTCTCAAAATGGACACATAATTGTGTTGTATAAGGTTTTGTTTATTTGCTTCTTTGTTTACATTTGGTTTGTTTATGTCTGTTTGTGTTTGTGTTTGTGTGTAGGCTGCCCCCACTCTTCCGCTGCTCTGCACCTGCCGCTGCGTTTATGGCCCTCAACAGCAGTCAAGCAACGAGCATTGCAGAATCACTGAAGCTGCTCTGCACTGACATAGACCCCACTGTACGTATTTACATACACCATAGACCCCACTGTACGTATTCACACACACCATAGACCCCACTGTACGTATTTACATACACCATAGACCCCACTGTACGTATTTACACACACTATAGACCCCACTGTACGTATTTACACACACTATAGACCCCACTGTACGTATTTACACACACCATAGACCCCACTGTACGTATTTACACACACTATAGACCCCACTGTACGTATTTACACACACTATAGACCCCACTGTACGTATTTACACACACCATAGACCCCACTGTACGTATTCACACACACTATAGACCCCACTGTACGTATTTACATACACCATAGACCCCACTGTACGTATTTACACACACCATAGACCCCACTGTACGTATTCACACACACTATAGACCCCACTGTACGTATTACATACACCATAGACCCCACTGTACGTATTTACACACACTATAGACCCCACTGTACGTATTTACACACACTATAGACCCCACTGTACGTATTACACACACCATAGACCCCACTGTACGTATTTACACACACTATAGACCCCACTGTACGTATTTACACACACTATAGACCCCACTGTACGTATTTACACACACTATAGACCCCACTGTACGTATTTACATACACCATAGACCCCACTGTACGTATTCACACACACCGTAGACCCCACTGTACGTATTTACACACACTGTAGACCCCACTGTACGTATTTACACACACTATAGACCCCACTGTACGTATTCACACACACTATAGACCCCACTGTACGTATTCACACACACTATAGACCCCACTGTACGTATTTACACACACTATAGACCCCACTGTACGTATTTACACACACTATAGACCCCACTGTACGTATTCACACACACCATAGACCCCACTGTACGTATTTACACACACTATAGACCCCACTGTACGTATTCACACACACCATAGACCCCACTGTACGTATTTACACACACTATAGACCCCACTGTACGTATTTACACACACTACAGACCCCACTGTACGTATGTACACACACTATAGACCCCACTGTACGTATTTACACACACCATAGACCCTACTGTACGTATTTACACACACCATAGACCCTACTGTACGTATTTACACACACCATAGACCCCACTGTACGTATTTACACACACTATAGACCCCACTGTACGTATTTACACACACTATAGACCCCACTGTACATATTTCCACACACCATAGACCCCACTGTACGTATTTACACACACCATAGACCCTACTGTACTTATTTACACACTATAGACCCCACTGTACGTATTTACACACACTATAGACCCCACTGTACATATTTCCACACACTATAGACCCCACTGTACGTATTTCCACACACTATAGACCCCACTGTACATATTTACACACACTATAGACCCCACTATATGTATTTACACACACTATAGACCCTACTGTACTTATTTACACACACCATAGACCCCACTGTACATATTTACACACACCATAGACCCCACTGTACGTATTC